CACGGAAAGGAACAGCAACGCTCTGTCTCTCCGTTATAAATGTTGTTTTATTTATTTATTTATTTATTTATTTATTTGATTTGCCAATTGTTTACAAGATAATAAGTATAAATGTATACATAGTTGTGAATACATGAAATGGGTACATATAAGAAAAATAAAAGAATAAGAGAAACAATAGGACAGGGACTGTAGGCACGTTGGTGCGCTTATGCACGCCCCCTACAGACCTCTTAGGAAAGGGGTGAGGTCAATAGTAGACAGTCTAAGGTTAAAGTTTTTGGGGTTTGGGGAAGAGACTACAGAGTCGGGTAGAGTATTCCAGACATTGACCACTCTATTGCTGAAGTCGTATTTCCTGCAATCAAGTTTGGTGCGGTTTACTTTGAGTTTGTATCTATTGTGTGCTCTTGTGTTGTTATGGTTGAAGCTGAAGTATTCATTGACAGGTAGGACATTGCAATGTATGATTTTATATACCATGCTTAAGTCAGACCGAAGACGGCGTAATTCAAGGTTTTCTAGTTCTAGAATTTCAAGTCTGGTGGCATAAGGTATTCTACAACGAGTAGAAGAGTGGAGAACTCTTCTTGTGAAATATTTCTGGACTTTCTCAATTGTGCTAATATCAGATACGTAATGTGGGTTCCAGACTGATGAACTGTATTCAAGTATTGGTCTAGCAAATGTTTTGTATGCTCTGGTTAGTAGTGTGATATTACCAGAGAAAAAGCTACGTAGGATTAGGTTAACAACTCTTAATGTCTTTTTGGCTATGTAGTTGCAGTGGGCTCTAGCACTTAGATCATTAGAGGTGAGTATTCCAAGGTCCTTTACAGAGCTTGGGTCATCAACAAGTTCTTGACTATTCAGCTTGTATTTTATTGTATTTATTTTGTATTTATTGAATTTTGATCATGTGATCAAAATTCAGAGGCTTGGCAACTGGTTCATACTTATGACCATTGCCGTGTCCCAGGGTCATGGGATGTTGCGACCTTTTGACAAGCAAAATCAGTGGAGAAGCCACCATTCAAAAAACAACCGGGGCCCCTAACTTATCAACTGCAGTGATTCACTTAAGAACTGTGGAAAGAAAAGTCGTAAAAGGGGGCAAACTCATTTAACAAACGTCTCGCTGTGGTTGTAAGTCAAGGATCCCCTATAATGAGAACCAGTTTGGTGTAGCGATTAAAGTGCTGGCTTAGAAACCAGGGGGACTGTGAGTTCTAGTCCTGAGCAGCAGAAATTTGGGGCTCAGTTATGGTCGTAAGTCGACTACCTGTACCAGGTTTTGACTTTTCTTTTGTAGAAGGCGCTGAATTCGTACTTTGACCCGCCTCCTGAGCAAGATGTCGACGGGATGCCCCATCCAGTTCCCGCCACGGGGGCTCCGTAAGTGATTTATGCGAAGGCTTTTTGTGGAGAAAAGCAGGAAAAATCTTTCATTTGCCCCCGTTATGTGGCCATGTCAATCCCTTTTCTTTTATTTCTGTTGTTTTATTTATTTGTATCCCACCTTCATTATTTTTACAAGTAACTCAAGGTGGACAAACCTACCCAACACACCTTCCTCTTCCTATTTTCTTTACCGCAACTTTGTGATGTGATTTGGGATGACAGAGAGAAAGACTTTTCACTCCTCATTTTCAAATATGTTAAGGGATCTTTTTTTACAGCCTCTGTTTATAGTTATGAGGTTGAAAGTTGACAGAGAGATGAAACTTGGTGTTGTGTGGAGCAGAACTCAGTTCCCCATACAAAATGACATACCTCCAACCCTGTTTGCTGACTTGTAAGGTTGGACCCTACCTGATCATTTTCTTTGTGCCTGAACTTGGTATTTATGCATAATTTGTGCATATGTTCTGATATGGTGGGTTTCAAAAATTATCGCATGCTACTGCATGGAGTTAGTTCATTATGATTGAACTAACCAACTTTTGTGGTTGGTTGGTTCAATATGGCTGCAGTGACCATTTGCTTCAAGTCTAACGGGGTTCTGACTTTAATACATTTGTAGTGAATCCCTTACAGATCTTAAATAGGAGTACTTTAATCAGACTGATATACTTGAGATGTTTGGAATTTCGCAGCTACTTGACCATTGGCAAGGGATTGTAGGAATAGTCTAAAACACTGGTCGCCAACCAGTGGCCGGGGACCACTGGTGGTCCATGAGAAAATTTTGGTGGTCCGCAGAGAAATGTCACCCCCCCAAAAGCAATTAATTCAAGCTGCGTGGGAACACAAGTTTGTGCTGCCCACATGGCCTGTGGGAACACAAGGTTTGCGTCGCTTGCATTGCGAACAACACGTAGTGAGGGGAGGGGGGAAAGGGCAGAGGGGGAAAACTTGCCCCATGCGCCTGGCCTGGCCACCAGGCTGCTTCTTTCCGCTTCCTTCTTCTGCTTTTGGCTGCACACAAGGAAAGCAGCAAAAGTCTTTCTTTCCCCCAAACTCCGCCAGAAATGAGTCTTTGGGACCCTGCAAGACATCCTGCTCCAAGAGGCATGACAAGTCTCGCAAAGACTCATTTTCTGGCAGAGTTTGGGGGAGAGAAAGAAAGACTTCTGCTGCTTTCCTTGCATGAAGCCAAAAGTCTCTCCCACTCTCTCTCCCCTGAGAACGGAGCTGGAGACGGAATCCTGCAATCCCAAATAAAGAACGATTGATCGGTAGGAAAACGGGGTGGGGAATTTTCCTGCAGACTTTTTGGGGGATTTTCCCAGGGTCTCTGGTCCACGGGATTTAGAATTATGAGTTTGGTGGTCCCTGAGGTCCAAAAGGTTGGCGACCCCAGTCTAAAACACGGGCATCCAACTTTTGACTTGCGTGAGCCGCGTTGATTGAAGAGGAATTGTTTAGAGCCTTACATAAAATATATAATGTAGTTAATGTATACAGATAGTCCTCGACTTACAATAGTTCATTTAGTGACTTCAAAGTTACAACAGCATTGAAAAAAACGATTCATGGCTGTTTTCACACTTACAAATGTTTCAGCGTTCCTAAGCTCACAGGATCAAAATTTAGACACTTGCCAATTGACTCATATTTATGTCGGTTGCAGTGCCCCAGGGTCCTCTGATCATCTTTTGCGAACTTCTGACAAGCAAAGTCAATGGGGAAGCCAGATTCACCTAACAATCATGTTACTAACTTAACATCTGCAGTGGTTCACTTAACAATTGGGGCAAGAAAGGTCGTTAAGTAACAAAACTCACTTAACAACTATCTCGCTTAGCAACAAAACTTTTGGGCTCAGTTGTGGTTGTAAGTCGAGGACCACCTGTATAAATAACAAACTTCCTTTCTTTTTATATTTTTTAATGATCTTGTGGGGCCACATTACTAGCTGTCCAGAATGGGTGGACATGCCTGGTCTAAAATATTGAGGGGAGGGACTCTAGTCTGTCTTATGTCTTATCTGTGTCTTAGGTAGAAATAGTTGTGCAGTTGGTACTATCCCCTGAATAATTGTTCAAGTGACTGTAGAAAATTAAAATGGTAGCACTGATTGAGAGCTCCCATTAACATTTCTTAGCTTGCTTAAAAGTTTATAGATGGCTACATGTACACCAGTGGTGCTATTCTACCGGTTCTGGTGTACCGGTAGTGCCGAAGATCAGCGGAGAATGAACTGGTTCTATCTGAGGAGCTGCTGTTGGGCCCACCCGCCTGGGCTCCCGTACCGACCTTTATTCCCTGCTTTTGAAGCGCAGCTGCTTTGCGCGGCACAGCAGATTGCCGTGCGTAAGTTGCTGAAGCGACAGGGAGAGTGCAGGATTGCAGGAGGTGAGTCGGAAAGCCTCTGCGCGTGCACGAAGTGCGTGTTTGGCACACGTGCGTGCGCAAAGTGTGTGCGTGCGCAAAGCACGCCCACCAAGCCACACCCACTGAACCGGTGGTAAACTATTTTGAAACTCACCACTGACGTGCAGGTAGTCCTTGAGTTACGACCACAATTGAGCCCCAAATTCCTGTTGTTAAGTGAGACATTTGTTAAGTGAATTTTGCTTCATTTTACGAACTTTGCTACCTTAGTTATTAAGTGAATCACTGCAGTTGATAAGTGAGTAACCCAGTTGTTATTTGAATCTGGCTTCCCCATTGACTTTGCTTGTCAGAAGACCGCAAAAGGTGATCGCAAGATCCGGGGACATAGCAATGGTCCTAAATATGAACCAGAACCAGTTGCCAAGCATCTAAATTTTTGATCACATGATGATGAGGATGCTGGAAAGTTCGTACGTCTGAAAAATGGTCATAAATTACTTTTTCAGTGCAGTTGTAACTTTGGACAATCACTAAGTGAACTGTTGTAAGTCAAGGACTAACTAATGTGCTGTGCCATATTTTTCACATATAGTTGAGCAAATTCAGGTAGACCTCAACTTTAGTGAATGTTTGAACTTACAGCCGCACTGAAAAAGTGACTTTTGGCCATTTTTCACACTTAGGACTGTAGCAGCATCCCTGTGGTCATGTAGTAACTGTGCTACTAACTTAACAACTGCAGTTAACTGTGACAAGAAAGATCATAAAATGGGGCAAAACTCACTTAACAACTGTCTTGCTTAGCAATAGAAGTTTGGGGCTCAAGTAAGTTGAAAACTACCTATAATTAATCTGGTTCAGATAGTATGAAACCAATAAATCATGGCTAACAACTCACACTTGATAGATTCACACGCCAAGCTAAAACCTTAGGGCACCATAGGGAAATCGATGGCCACATACCTTCAAGGCTGATTTCTGATGTGAAAAAATAAATGTTTCTGCGACAACCACTGCATGCTGGTAGTAAACTGGACCTACTGCAGATGGCAATTTTCTAAAACTACTTTTTAAAGCCTGTGGATAAGTAAATGTTCTGGAGAAAATTGCTTTCGGCAATATGTTTAATTTGTTGTATGTGCGTTCCAGTGTTGAGCTAACTGATCATTCGACTACCAACACTGTAGCTGCTGCAGTAGTGGAAGCTGCAGGAATCTGCCCACAAGACGATAGCACTTTTTCTTTAATTACTTGGAATATTGATGGCCTGGATTCAAATAATCTGCAAGAAAGAGCACGAGGAGTCTGTTCCTATCTAGCTTTGTAAGTATCTGTCACAGTAATCCTGTGGGCATCTAGTAGAAATAAGCCCCAATGAGATTATAGAACAAGCATGCTCTGAACACATCGTCATGCATTTGTTTTGTACTAGCTACTTTTTAATAAGAATTGAATACTTTTGTAATGCGGTGCTAAAATATGTATGCATGCAAGTCTATAAGTAACAAAAAGTTTTAGGTTGTCTAAGTCTGCTACAAATATGTGTTACCTTGGTGCCAAAATGCTTTCTTTGTATCAGTAAAATACAACTATTCATCTAGACAATGTTAATTTGCATGAACTGGAGATAAGTTACTGGGCTTCCAAAACATGAACATTAATCTTAAACTTGTGTTTCTTGGTGCTTTTTATTCAGTCATTATTCTCATATATATGATCTTAATAACTAGAATGCTAATTAAAGCATGTTTTGGAGAAGGAACCAAGCAAATTAAAAGGGCATAAATCAAAATTACTATTGCAAATTTTCTGACAAAGACAGCCCTCAGACCCCTCCCATTTTAGCCATTTTCTGTATTTGGATGATGATTTAGAGATCCAAGTTGATAAATATTGATATTACCTAGCACCAAGACATTTTTAATATTTAAGGTTAGCATCTGAAGTGTTAAGGTTAGCAACTGAAATATTAGTACCACTTTATAAAACCCTACTAAGACCCCACACCTGGAGTACTGCAAACAATTTTGGTCACCATACTACAAAAAAAGATATTGAGACTTTGGAAAAAGTTCAGAGAAGAGCCATTAAGATGATCAAAGGCCTGGAGAGTAAAACATGAGGAAAGGCTGCAGGATTTGGGTTTGGCTAGTGTAAAGAAGAGAAGAATTAGGGTTGACATGATGGCAGTATTCCAGTATTTGAGGGGTTGCCACAAAGAAGAGGGGGTCAAATTATTCTGCAAAGCACCAGAGGGCAGGACAAGAAACAATGGTTGGAAACGAACCAAAGAGAGAAGCAATCTGGAATTAAGGAGAAATTTCCTGACAGTTAGAACAATTAATCAGTGGGAAGCTTGCCTTCAGAAATCATGGGTGCTCCATCACTAAGAAGAGACTAGATGGCCACATGTCTGAAATAGTATAGGTTCTCCTGCTTGAGCAGAGGGCTGGACTAGAAGATCTCCAAGGTCCCTTCCAGCTCCTATTCATCTATAATATGCTGCAGGAATACATTGAAAAGGTTAAAAAATTGTAATGCTTCTTTTGAGTAGGTGCAGTTGTAGTTAGCAAGTTATTTTAAACTGATCAAAGGCATCTTATGTAATCCAACATATATACAGTATACTATAAACACACACAGACACACACAAAAACATAGAAGTAAGTGCTATCAAATGCCCACAGTCGTGCCACAGAGTTTAAGATTAAAGCAGCTTATCAAAGTTGCCACCTTAACTTTAGTAACTATTTAGTTGCATGTATCTGTAAGCATCTGAATATCTGGTGGAAATCTGAGGGTATGATCAGGTTGCAATATTGTAATGAAATAAGCTACTTTCAAAGCATGAGTTTGAAACTAGATTCATTTAAGAAAAATTAAAGTGCTTTTAAGATTTA